CTGCTTATGGCTGGATCCAAAGCTCCATAAAGTGGAGTTTATTTTTTTTTTTTCCTCCAGTATTATCAGGTCATTTTGCCAAAATGAAAAGTTTCTAAAAACGGTTTCTGAAGCAATCACTGAAAAGCCAGATTTTTGGTGGAGGCATGCCACGGTGACTAGACTTGTCTCAAGTTTCTGGAAAAGAATTCTAGGGCTTAAAATAGATTATACTTTTCTTTTTATGTTGAAGTTTTTGCTAAAAAAGTTGTTTAGTCTCTGAAGCCACTAAGAGAAGAATATATAGGTTCATGAGGGAAGAGTGGAGGGAACCGAGAATGCTGGATGCTAATTACATGATTTTTATTCCAAGTCAGATTAGAAACAAGAAGGATGTTTTGTTGCTGTTCAGATGAACTCAGAGGTTCAAAGGCCAGCTGAGCCTGGCAATAGAGATACGTGAGACGAGCCGCTCTATTCTTGCACATACAATTTTTCATTCTGGAGACTGCAGAAATCTCATATACGTACAGAGAAATGGTGGAAGCAATGAGAGATTGAAAATCAGGGAAAAGGCACGTTGATATGAGAGACACCTACCCTCGTTCGAATCTGCGGTGCGGGGTCTAGGCTAAACCCCGCTGCAGTCAGAGGGTGTATGTTTGGGAAGTGGGGGTTTTTCTCTCCCAAACAATAATGATTATGTTACCAAGGATCGCAGGCTTTGCTGCTGCTGGATGGCTAAAGACCTTCCTCTCGCCTTCCCTGCCGAGATAAGCTTGATATTCCTCTGCTGGGTGATGCCTCCAGTTTCTACCCCTCCGTAGCCAGACTGCCTTGACGTTTTTCAATATCTCCTCTGTATTTCTGGGTGGGATGGGATGAGAATAGCCCACCGCTTTTGGCTGGATTCGACGTGCTTGGGGGGTCATTGCTCTGGGTGTGGGGAGCGAGGATGCGCTCTCCGATAACCCAGCAGTGGTGTCTACGGAAAGAATTTATGAAAAACTTGTTACCCTAGCAGTCCGTGGTGCTGCCCCGCGTGTCCCCTCTGCCACATAGCCAGGTATTGCAGCGTGGCTGCCATAATCTGCCTGTTCGGTGGTTTGGGGGAGCTGCCCGTGCCTTCACGCGCGGTTGGCACCGAGGCGAAGCGTCTGCTCTTTGACGGGATGTTTGCCGAGTGCCTGCTGCACAGCTCGGGGCTGTGTCCGCAGCAGCAGAAGGCTTGGGGATCCCTACGCTGCCTCCCTGGGGTCATTAGGCTAATTAATGTGTGTGTGGCGATGGGTCTGTCGTGTGGGGGTGAGATGCCCGGTCTGCCCATCCCGTGTGCTGGGACAGCCGGACGCCGCACTTACTGAGCATCGTTATTCCGGGCTGTGGCTGAAATCGCTTATTCCCCTGAGTCTCTTAAGACGTACGACCGAGAGAGATGCATGGCTACATTAAATTTTTACACCCTTTTAGGTTACATTAGGCATTTGAAGGGAAAATCCCAGCACCGGAGAGGCTCATCTGTGCTTCTAGGGGAGAGTAACTTTGGTTTTATACATTAACGCACTGCCTGCATGGATGCACTTGTAAGGCGTGAGGAATCTTCCTCCTCTGCGAATGCCATGTTTTTCCACAATTGATATATCAAAATTCAAAGTGTAATTTAAGTGTCAGAAGTGCTTTCCCTGGGAGATGTTACAAATCCCGGTTTCCTGCACCCAAACCCTATTATTTGCTCACACAAAATTCGCAGCAGCAAGCCAGGACTTTCCTGTACGTCACACAAAACCCACGGCAGATTGCTTAGATGTGAGGCAAAAAGCAAGACGGCAGCAGAGGGAAGGAGCAGATAAAGAAGGCAGGGGATTATTTTTGAAGGCAGTCCAAGCAGAAAAGCAGGAGCTCACCAAAAACCTGCTGCATTTCGCGCCGTCGCTTTGCTTTTCCCTCGCCCCACTGCCTGCGGAGGTGCTGCCCTTCCCCGGGCCGGCATTTAATCTTGTGCGGCTTTGGCTGGAGCTGGCGCACACTTGCATGCTCGAAACAAAACCCTGGGCTGAACTAACAGCCCGTTTCACCTGCCTGAGTCAGACCCTGTGAAGGAAGGTAACAGAGTAAGGGGGTGTCGGGGTCCCGGGGTAAGCTGCCCCTTCGGAGACCTTTGCCATCCCTTTTTGGCTGGCTTGGGGCAAAATAACCCTTGTGCTTAACCTGATGTACAGACTATGATATATAAAAAAAATTTCAAACCGATGCCTTGCAGAAAAATAGATAAGGCTGAGCTGGCGGGGCCAGGGCCAGGGCCAGTCCTCTCGAGGAATTTTTCGGGTGCCCAGGGGATCAGCGCCTTGTACGTCGGGTGGGCAACCAGAAACTAACCCCGGGCTGATCTTCTGGCACTTTCCCCAGGGGAGAGGCGAGTGCTTTGCTTTCATCCTCAAATGTTTTTTGAAGACAGGCATGCCTGGCCGGCAAAGGGAAACCTGCATGTGATCATGCAGGGCTGAATTATTTTAGGGCCTGGCTAGCGTCCATGGATGCACAGCATGACCGAAGCAAACTTTTCCCCTTTTTTTAAATCATGTAAATAAACCACAGATTGATTGCTCTAGCTTTTTCACCCAGAGTCCCACATTCTCCTCCGTAGTTCCAGATTTCTGACGATTTGCAGATTTGCCGTAGCACACTGGGGGCTTTGTGGGGTGAGCAGCCGGGCGGGGGGTTTGCCAGGCACGCCGGGCAGGAGAGGGGACCGTGCCAGGGATCGCCGGGGTCCCCGCAGGTTGGGGTTCCCGCAGGCAGGAGTTCAGGCAGTGTTGGGGGAAGACTGCCGACATCCCACTTTCCCACCGGCAGGCTGAGACCTACGGGGACCCCCCCCAGCCCTGCTGGCCGGGGCCCTACTGCAAAAACTGTCATGCAAAGCTGCCGTGGGGCAGCCCCTCCGGAGCCATGCCAGGGGGGCTGCCGCTGCCCCACATGCTGCTCCTGGCCGGGGCTCCTCCGTTACTTTCTTTGCTTGCTTTTTAGGGGGGAAGATCATTTAAAAATGCTTTTAAAGCCTCATCCAAAGCCTGGGGGACTTTTTCTTAATATTTGCCCACAAAAGCTAGGTTGGGGCTCTTGGTGAGCACCCCCTTGCCCCAGTCCTGGGGGAGAGCGGTGCCGCTTCTCTCTGCACGTAAGAACTGGAGGTTTTTGCTCTGTTGCAGGTTCGTCGCGGGGACCCAGCCCCCTCACCATGGGGGCACAGGACACCCTGCCCGTCGCCGCTGCCTTCACGGAAACCGTCAATGCGTACTTCAAGGGGGCTGACCCGAACAAGTAGGTGCCGACTGACAGGGTCTGGGTGTCGATATGGGGAGTCCTGGGGTCGGGACAGGCTTGGGGTGCTTTGGTTGAGCTTTGGTGAACATCTCGAGGGATGGGGAGGGAGGAAAGGAGGTGCTCCGGGCTCGGCACACAGGTGCTGGGGTGTCAGTCCACCACACCAGGTGGGGCTCCAGGGTCAGGATGCTCCTGGGGCGTCCCCATGAACATCAAACCCCATACCTAGCAGGCTGCCAGCTTTTGCTGCTGTTTCAGCTCGCTCTGGTTTAGGACCACAAGAGGTGAATGGGTGGGAAGCAGGGGGCTGTCACCGCACCATCCCTGGCGCGAACCTTCCCCTCCCTGCTGTGTTTTGAGCCCCCCGTTTCCTCCCCCCTCGGTCTCTGTGTCCGGCGCTGCAGGTGTATCGTGAAGATCACAGGGGAGATGGTGCTGTCGTTTCCAGCGGGCATCACCCGACACTTTGCCAACAACCCCGCTCCAGCGGTGCTCACCTTCCGCGTGCTGAACTACAACAGGCTGGAGCACGTCCTGCCAAACCCCCAGCTCCTCTGCTGGTAAGCTCCCCCCTTGCCAGCATCCCAAAGGAAGGCGAGTTTCCTGAAAACTAGGGTGTTTTGCAAAAACACATGGCGTGAAGTATCTTCTTTGGAAGCCCGCCCTGGTTTTGGGAAGGAAACTCTCAAGCCCTTAAGTATTTGCCAGAGAACTCCCTCTGAGAGCAGCCCCTTTGCCAGGCAGAAGAGCATCAGCAGAGAGGAGCAAGTGCTTTGATGGGGTTGGCTTTTTTTTGCACCTCGCTTTGCTCATTAGACCTCCCGTTTGCAAAATGAGATGCCCTACAGGTTGCATCTGCTGTGCCTCCCCGGAGGTACCGGAGGACAAGCCAGAGATGCGCGGGAGGGAGGCATTATTTCTCTAAATGTGGGATTAAATGCAGCAGGCGCTGCTGCCCTGCATGCTTTGTAGAAAAGCTTTCTTCTACCGAGGTGGCTTACACGAAGGGTTAATTCTCCCTCTGTGCAGTGACAACGTGCAGAGTGATGCCAACACGAAGGAGTTCTGGGTCAACATGCCAAATCTGATGACTCACCTAAAGAAGGTATCGGAACAGAAACCGCAAGCCACCTATTACAATGTGGATATGCTCAAATACCAGGTAGGGGCTTTTTCTGTAAGATAAAACTGTGCCAAAACTGTGCGGTTAACTTGTTAGACGTAAAAGCTGGTATTTCCCTAGTGCAGGGCGGAGATACCGCGAGTTGAGGGCATGCTACCCCGCTAGTCCCTTCTGTATGTCACTAGATTGCCCCATTTTGAGCCCAGTACAAACTTTCTATGAGCATACAAGGTATTGTCTCCTCTGAAACCAAATGCGATTACCGCGTCTGTAAAATGGGATTTCTCCCTTCACCCCTATGGAAACTAAATGTTTTTTCTGTCATTTTGGAAGGTATCTGCCCAGGGTATTCAGTCTACTCCATTAAACCTTGCAGTGAGCTGGCGGTGTGACCCTGCAAGCACTGACCTCCGCATTGACTACAAATACAATACAGAGGCAATGACCACACCGGTAGCTCTAAACAACGTCCAGTTCCTCGTCCCCGTCGACGGAGGAGTAACCAAACTTCAAGCTGTGCTTCCTCCTGCTGTCTGGTAGGAATTGCCCACCTGACAAAGAGCTCGTTGGCTATCTCTGCCCTGTCCCTGCCTAGAAAAGCCATCCTGCCTGCTGGCTGCAGAAGGGGGATCTCCCTCAGGGGATGCCTGCGGGTGGGAGCTGGGGGCACCCTGGGGACCCAAACCTGTCCTCCTCTCCCAGGAGGAAGCACGCAACCCCACTCTGATGGGGTTTTTTTTATCTTGCCACTCCCACGAGCAAACGGTCAGGGCTGAACACATGTGTGCAAGCAGCAGAATGACAACCCTTATTTGATGTTTTGGTTACTTTTACCCGGGGCTCAGAGGGATGCGGGGCCGTGGCTGCCATAGGCACGGGCACGCAC